ACATAAACAGAACCGAAAACAAAAACCACATGATTATCTCAATTGACGCAGAGAAGGCATTCGACAAAATTCAACAGCCCTTTATGCTAAAAACCCTCAATAAACTTGGTATTGATGGAACGTATCTCAAAGTAATAAAAGCTATTTATGACGAACCAACAGCCATACTGAATGGGCAAAACCTGGAAGCATTCACTTTGAAATCCGGCACTAGACAAGGATGCCCTCTTTCACCACTCTTATTCAATATAGTACTGGAAGTTCTAGCCAGAGCAATCAGGCAAGAAAAAGAAATAAAGGGTATTCAAATAGGAAAGATGGAAGCCAAATTGTCTCTATTTGCAGACGACATGATAGTATACCTAGAAGACCCCATCGCCTCAGCCCAAAAACTCCTGAAACTGATAAGCAACTTCAGCAAAGTCTCAGGATATAAAATCAATGTGCAAAAATCACAAGCATTCGTCTACACCAATAACAGACTTAAAGAAAGCCAAATCAAGAATGAACTGCCATTCACAATTGCTACAAAAAGAATAAAATACCTAGGAATACAACTCACAAGGAACATAAGGGACCTCTTCAAGGAAAACTACAAAACACTGCTCAATGAAATAAAAGAAGACACAAACAGATGGAGAAACATTCCATGTTCATGGTTAGAAAGAATTAATATCGTGAAAATGGCTATACTGCCCAAAGTAATTTGCAGAATCAATGCTATCCCCATCAAGCTACCATTGACTTTCTTCACAGAACTGGAAAAAACCACCATGAACTTCATATGGAACCAAAAGAGAGCCCGCATAGCCAAGTCAATTCTAAGCAAAAAGAACACAGCGGGGGGCATCACACTACCGGATTTCAAACTATACTACAAGGCTACAGTAATCAAAACAGCATTGTACTGGTACCAAAACAGAGATATAGACCAATGGAACAAAACAGAGGCATCGGAGGCAACACAACATATCTACAACCATACAATCTTTGATAAACCTGACAAAAACAAGCAATGGGGAAAGGATTCCCTCTTTAATAAATGGTGTTGGGAAGACTGGCTAGCCATGTGCAGAAAGCAGAAACTGGACCCCTTCCTGACACCTTACACTAAAATTAACTCCAGATGGATTAAAGACTTAAACGTAAGACCTGGCACCATAAAAACCCTAGAAGAAAATCTAGGCAAAACCATCCAGAACATAGGAGTAGGCAAGGACTTCATAAACAAAACACCAAAAGCATTGGCAACAAAAGCCAAAATAGACAAATGGAACCTAATCAAACTCCACAGCTTCTGCACGGCAAAAGAAACAGTCATTAGAGTGAATCGGCAACCAACAGAATGGGAAAACATTTTTGCAGTTTACCCATCTGACAAAGGGCTGATATCCATAATTTACAAAGAACTCAAACAGATTTACAGAAAAAAAACAAACAAGCCCATTCAAAAATGGACAAAGGATATGAACAGACACTTTACAAAAGAAGACATATATGAGGCCAACAATCATATGAAAAAATGCTCATCATCACTGGTCATCAGAGAGATGCAAATCAAAACCACATTGAGATACCATCTCATTCCAGTTAGAATGGGGATCATTAAAAAATCTGGAGACAACAGATGCTGGAGAGGATGTGGAGAAAAAGGAACACTTTTACACTGTTGGTGGGAGTGTAAATTAGTTCAACCATGTGGAAGACAGTGTGGTGATTCCTCAAGGCCTTAGAAATAGAAATTCCATTTGACCCAGCAATCCCATTATTGGGTATATATCCAAAGGACTATACATCGTTCTACTATAAGGACATATGCACAGGAATGTTCATTGCAGCACTGTTTACAATAGCAAAGACCTGGAACCAACCCAAGTGCCCAATGATGATAGACTGGACTGGGAAAATGTGGCACATATACACCATGGAATGATGAGTTCGTGTTGTTTGTAGGGACATGGATGAATCTGGAGAACATCATTCTCAGCAAACTGACACAAGAACAGAAAATGAAATATCGCATATTCTCACTCATAGGCGGGTGATGAAAAATGAGAATACATGGACACAGGGAGGGGAGTACTAAACATTGGGGACTACTGGGGGGAAAAGGAGAGGGCCAGCGGGGGCAGGGAGCTGGGGAGGGATAGCCTGGGGAGAAATGCCAAATATGGGTGAATGGGAGAGAGGAAGCAAAACACACTGCCATGTGTGTACCTATGCAACTGTCTTGCATGTTCTGCACATGTACCCCAAAACCTAAAATGCAATAAAAAATTAAAAAAAAAAAATTTAGCTGCCCTGTCTCTTTAATCTCCTTTAATCTGAAACAGTTCTTCATCTTTGCTCTATCTCTCATGTCACTGACATTTTTTAAGAAAATAGGCCAACTGTTTTACAGAATGGTTCCAACTTGACTTTGTCTGAGGTTTTCTCACAATTAGATTATCACCAGGTTGTACATTTTGGATGTGGTACTATATAAGAAATCCATCCTCAAGGCATCAAATCTGGAGGAATCTTACTGGTGATGTTAGCTTTAATCACTTGGTTAAGATGTGTGGTCACTGGCGCCTGTCAGCATAGGGGCAAGGAGAGGAAGAGTATTAGTACAAATACCTAATGCATGTGGGGCTTTAAACCTAGATGAGAGCTTGATAGGTGCAGCAAACCACCATGGTACATGTATATATATGTAACAAACCTGCATGTTCTCCACACGGATCTCAGAACTTAAAGTAAAATAAAATTAAAGTTAAGGCCAGGCACAGTGGCTCATGCCTATAATCCCAGCACTTTGGGAGGCCAAGGCAGGTGGATCATGAGGTCAGGAATTCAAGACCAGCCTGGCCAAGATGGTAAAACCCCATCTCTACTAAAAATATAAAAATTAGCCAGGTGTGGTGGCAGGCACCTGTATTTCCAGTTACTTGGGAGGCTGAGGCAGGAAAATCACTTGAACTTAGGTGGCAGAGATTGCAGTGAGACGAGATTGTGCCACTGCACTCCAGCCTGGGCAACAGAGTGAGACTCTGCCTCAAAAAATAATAATAATTTAATTTTTAAAAGTCTGGGCAAAGTGGCTCAGGCCTGTAATCCCAGCACTTTGGGAGGCCAAGGAAGGTGGTTTACCTGAGGTCGGGAGTTCGAGACCAGCCTGGCCAACATGACGAAACCCTGTCTCTACTGAAAAAAAAATTAGCCAGGCATGGTAGCCTGTAATCCCAGCTACTTGGGAGGCTGAGGCAGGAGAATGGCTTGAACCTGGGAGGCAGAGTTTGCAGTGAGCCAAGATTGTACCACTGCACTCCAGCCTGGGCAACAAAAGCGAAACTCCGTCTCAAGAAAAAAAAAAAGATATTGTGTGGTTTCTTCCCTACATATTTACAATCTTTCCTTTTTTAGTAATTTGAGAGATACTTTGAAACTATATAAATGCCCTGATCCTCATCAGATTTCCCTCTATTGATTTAGCATCTATTCATGATTTTTGCCTCCCAAAAAGTAATTCTGCCTCATTTTTCCTATACTATTAGCATTTACTGTAAGGATGAGTTGTAGTTTTATCCCCTTTTATGTATTTATTAATCTGCTTAAGATATGTAGAAATTCATGGATTCTTATTCAGTGGGTTTTAATCCATTAGGCCCCTTCTTTATTTTGGTGATTAAATTGTCCCAAATTTGGCCAGTGAGAGACTCTTCAAGCATATTGCTGTGTCCTTTTGCTCCCCTTTCCCCCCATTAAATCCTTTTTGAGCACTTCCTCACCATTTTTTTTTTTTTTTTTGAGACCAAGTTTTGCTGCTGTTACCCAGACTGGAGTACAATGGCACGATCTCGGCTCACCACAACCTCCACCTTCTGGGTTCAAGCAATTCTCCTGCCTCAGCCTCCCAAGTAGCTGGGACTACAGGCACACCACCAGGCCCAGCTAATTTTCGTATTTTTAGTAGAGATGGGGTTTCACCTTGTTGACCAGCATGGTCTCGATCTCTTGACCTCATGATCCACCCACCTCTCTTCACCTTCTAATACAAGATGTCCCAGAATCATCTTGAATCTATTCCACCCCAGTACTGGAATCAGCCACTGCTTCAAGAAGCTATAGTTCCTTTGGTGAGAAATGTTATTTAAAAACCAAGATCTGGGTTCTAGGTATGCTCACTGCTCCTATGATTATGCCTTGTCTTTCTCACTTAACAGTATACTATAAACTTCTTTCCTTATCTATACATATACCTTAACTATTTTTTGCATTAGGTGACTGTTATAATTTATTGAAATATTTTATTAATATAAACATTCAGATAATTTTTGTTTGCATTAATTTTTCCAATTACAGTATTACCATGAACATCCCTGTACACACATCACTCCACACATGTATGAGTATTTATCAGGATAGATTCCTAGACATAGAAATGCTAGATCAAGGACTACAAACATCTTTAGTGTTGTTAGAAAATGCCAAATCAAGCTACTAAAATGTTTTATCTATAGTATATAAATTTTCCCTACACCTATGAGAAAATAAAACATCATACATATAAAACATCACACATATGTTAATGTGCTAACATAAGCAGTTAGAAAATGTTATCCCATTGGTTTTAATTGCCACTTCTCTGATTAACAGACAATTATATTTACACTTTGTTATAAAAGAAACCATATTAGTGAATTTGTATTCAGGTGAGGATTTGTAGTTTTGTGACCTATAAACTCATGACAGTGAGTAAATTCTCAAAAGATCTGATGGTTTTACAAATGGTAGTGTTTCCTACACTCATGCACATGGTCTCCTGCTTCCCGTGCCTCCTCTCCCTCTCACCTGCTTACTGCCATGTAAGACGAGCCTGCTTCCCCTTCTGCCATGTTTGTAAGTTTCCTGAGGCCTCTAAGCATTCAGAACTGTATCATTTAAACCTCTTTCCTCTATAAATTTCCCAGTCTCGGGAGGTTCTTTACAGCAGTATGAAAACAGACTAATACACTTACCTATGATGTCTTCTTATCTCTGCACATTCTACTGCCATCCCAAATACAACAGCACTTGCTGGTATAACTTTCCCATACTTTTCACAATTACCACTTTCACCTTTGGTCTAAAAAAAAAACAGTAAAAATTATGTTATCACATGTATGTAAAATTATGTGTACATAATGAAAAGCTATGAAAATGTAACTTTAAAACCTTAAAGGCAATAAGTAAGGATACGTAACTTAAAGAACTTTTTTCTTCCTTAAAAAGTATTTTGGGGCCAGACGCAGTGGCTCATGCCTATAATCCCAGCACTTTGGAGGCCAAGGCGGGCAGATCATGAGGTCAGAAGATCAAGGCCATCCTGGCTAACATGGTGAAACCCTGTCTCTACTAAAAATACAAAAATTAGCTGGGCATGGTAGTACATGCCTATAGTCCCAGCTACTCAGGAGACTGAGGTAAGAAAATCGCTTGAACCAAGGAGGCAGAGGTTGCAGTGAGCTGAGATCATGCCACTGCACTCCAGCCTGGGCCACAGGGCAAGACTCCGTCTCAAAAAAGAAAAAAAATTATTTTTGGCTGGACCTGGCAGCTCACACCTCTAATTCCAGCACTTTGGAAGGCCAAGGAGAGAGAACTACTTGAGGCTAGAAGTTTGAGACCAGCCTAGGCAACATAGCAAGACCCTGTCTCTACAAAAGAAAAAAATTTTTTTAATTAGCCAAGTACGATAACATTGGGAGGCTGAGACGGAAGGATCACTTGAGACCAGTAGTTTGAGGCTGCAGTAAGCGAAAAAAGGTGCCACTGTGCTCCTGCCTGGGTAACAGAGTGAGACCTCATCTCAAAAAAAACAGAATAAGTATTTTCACTACTATATATGTGTGTGTGTGTGTGTGTGTGTGTGTATATATATATATATATTTTTTTTTTTTTTTTTTTCTTTTCCACAATACAAATGCAAAGGATACAAGAAAAGAGGGAGGATGGGAGGAGGAAAGGACTGTAAGTCTGCATAGAAAAAAAGATTTAGGTATGACTTTGATCAAGAAATCAGTATCATTACCTACAATAAATTGTTTGGCCAGGAGCAGTGGCCACACCTGTAATCTCAGCACTTTGGGAGACCAAGGCAGGAGAATCACTTGAGGCCAGGAGTTCAAGACTAGAGCCAGGCAAACATGGTGAAACCCTGTCTCTATTTTTTAAAAAAAAAAATTGCTCTTTTCAACCTTAACCAGCAATTTTAAATTCAAATCATTTTCTGTCAATTCCAAATTTTTACTACATATTAAAATCCTTTCATTGATAATTCATATCATTTAAACCAAATCAATGATTTGTGGGCTACAACAGAGGATTTCAATGCAAAATATAATTTGGCAAGAGTTAGTCCTTGGGCCGGGTGTGCTGGCTCACTCCTGTAATCCCAACACTTTGGGAGGCCAAGGCAGGCAGATTACAAGGTCAGGAGATCGAGACCATCCTGGTCAACATGGTGAAACCCTGTCTCTACTAAAATATAAAAAATTAGCCAGGCATGGTTCGCACGCCTATAGTCCCAGCTACTCAGGAGGCTGAGGCAGGGGAATCATTTGAACCAGGAAGCAGAGGCTGCAGTGAGCCGAGATCACGCCACTACACTCCAGCCTAGCAACAGAGCAAGACTGTCTCAAAAAAAAAAGTTCTGTTAAGTCCATAGCCTGGGTTCAATAGGTAACTTAAATCAGTACCAAACCAGCTATCACTATACTCCCTTTTGATAATTTGCCAAAATTCTAGGCAGTGAGCTCTGTAGGACTGAAAGTACCTCCCTTTTCAACCCTACTCAAGAATTCCATAGTCAGTCCCTCCACAAAGTAAACTCAAGTCCTATGAATTCTTCCCTGGAGTATTTTTGCCTGTATATCTCATTTGGGCACCTAAGTATACATTGTATCATGTTGTTAGTAAATGTTTTTTGCATAGATTTCTTTCCAACCACACAGTATGTACACCTTGACAATGGAAAATGTATTTCATATTGCTTTGTAAATATACTAAGGATTCAATAAATCTCTGATGAAATAATGAATTCTTAATCAATTTTAAGTATTTTCATACTGCTTACCTTTGGCTGTAAAAGTAAATGCTCCCATGCATGAATCAAACTCTCCACAATTCCTTCTCCAAATAAACCTGCATCGACAGTTTCTGTTACAACTAGGGACACTCTATAGAATGATTTTTCAAAGACATATGTAAGTAAAATATCATGCTATTATAAAAAGATGTCAAAGCTGAGAGGAGAAAGGAAGAGTATATTATAGAAACAGTCCATATGTAAAATTTCCTAATACATTGCATTTTTAATATCTACTGCTGAATCTTGAGGAACTTTACTGGAACATTGCTTAAGCTCCTTTGTTCTCCACTGGCTCCTTCTCCTTGGTTTGGAAGATGAGAGGGCAGTGGGGGCAGTCGGGGAGAGGGGATTGACAACCTTCACTTGGCCTTGTTCTCTCTCCAGGTTATTCTTTCATTGCCTACATTTAAGAGTGGTTCATATCCATTACATTTATCAGTCTCCTTCCTTAATGCCAAGCAAGTAGACTTCCATCTCCAACAGTCTATAAAAATATGTTTTACCATCAATAACTCCCCACTTATTAAAAGGAATCCTCTTTCTTGGGTGTCATTTTTTTTATCTCCAAATAACACTGACTGTAGGAGAGAGCTCTCCCTCTGAAAATCTCTCTCTACCTTCTATGACACTGCATCAGCCATGTTTGCCTCCTACATGTTGACTGTGCCTCTCTTATCACTTCTCTTCCTTTACCCACTGTCTAAGTCTTTGCAAAAGCCTAGTCCCCAGAACTCTGCTCTTCTGTCCATTCTTTCTTTCCAGAAAATTTCACTCAAAGACATACTAAAATAGTTTCTCCTTTCTCTGAACTCCTTCAGCATTTATTGCCAGTATCACTCATTACGTAGTTCAAAGATAAGGAACATTTCATAAATATTCTTTTCTTCCTATCTAGATTTTAAGTGCCTTGAGGGTAACAATGACTTTGGTATCCTCCACAGTGCCTAAACCCAACATATACAGAAAATATCCAGTATTTATGATTGCATACACCTAGAATGTGAAAGGTGTTTCAAATCATCTAGTCTAATATCTTGAAGTGTAGAGATTTGCTTAAGGTCAAACTAAGTTAATAACAGTCTAATCTGGAATCGATAGCTCCTGATTTCAAAACCAACAGATCTTTCTAAACATTATCTGTGAGAAAAATATAGATTAAATTAATGTAACTTTGATTCATGCTGACTCATGTCCCTCCTAAAATTCATGCTGAAGCCCTTAACCCCCAAACTGACTATAGGTGGAGAAGGAGAGGCCATGTAAAGACACAACAAGAAAGCAGCATCTGCAATTCAGGAAGAGAATCCTCACAAAATGCAAACTTGCCAGCACCTTGATCATGGTCTTCCAGCCTCCAGAACTGTGAGAAAATAAATGTCTATTATTAAAGCCACCCAGTCTGTGGTATTTCACTATGGCAGCCCAAGTGGAACAAGACAGTTGAGGATAGCGTTTTTTTCTCTAAAATGGGTATGACATTTGCCTTAATCCAATAGGAATTTTCTCATGAGAATAAATGTAGAGACCATTGAAAAGTGTAGGCACTATGTTAACATAAACATTATTATATATGGAAGAAGAGTTTTTAAAGTCATAGTTTATATAAGGAATAAAAACTCTTCTTTCAATACAAACTGAATTGAAGTAAGATCGGAAGACAGACCCAGAAGAGACAGGTACAGTAAGTGCTACATAAAGAAAACTTTGTCTCTAAAATGAATAGTGTTGAACCAGATCATTTTAAAATTCCTTTCAGCTCTAAAATTCCATCACCCTTATGATATGGATCACAGTGAGAAAATATACTAAAAACCCAAGACTTATATGAACTATATTCAAATCATTTAAAGGGCCCATGACAAAATATGCTGACAGCTGACATTTCCAAAGCTTTCATTTTAAACAAGAATATTAACACAAAATATGGTAAGTCCACTGAATCTGAACAGCTTATATTTTCTTTTTTTTTTCTGAGACGGAGTTTTCGTTCTTCTTACCAGGCTGGAGTGCAATGGCGCGATCTCGGCTCACCGCAACCTCCGCCTCCTGGATTCAGGCAATTCTCCTGCCTCAGCCTCCTGAGTAGCTGGGATTACAGGCACGCGCCACCATGCCCAGCTAATTTTTTTGTATTTTTTTGTATTTTGATGTTGACCAGGATGGTCTCGATCTCTTGGCCTCGTGATCCACCCGCCTCGGCCTCCCAAAGCATTGGGATTACAGGCTTGAGCCATCGCGCCCAGCCGCACGTTTTCTTTTTAAGTACAACTTTCAAGTAGTTATTGACCACAAGATGAATTATCTATTTTTACAAACAAGAACACTGAAATTAACAAAGGTAAAGGCCAGGCGCAGTGGCTCACACCTGTAATCCCAGCACTTTGGCACACCGAGGTGGGTGGAACACCTGAAGTCAGGAGTTCAAGACCAGCCTGACCAACATGGTGAAACCCTGTCTCTATTAAAAGAAAATTTAAAAAAATGTTTTTTAAAAACCCACAAAGGTAAAGTAACTTGCTAAGATCAACTTTACTAAATCCCTTGACACAAATTTTTTTCAAGATCTTTAAATATGTTTACTAAAGGGTATAATTTTATTTAAATATGTCTTTCAATAAACTATCCTATCCTATATCCATATCTTTACAAAATAAGAGATTTGTAGCATTTTGTTTGGACTAAAAACTAGAAATACATCTTAGTTTTTTTTAAAAAGAGAGAAGTATAAACACTAAAATCAGTTTACATGGTAATACCTTTCAGGAATATGTTTCGGAATCTCTATGTCAAGTGACTTCATATGTAAGAGTTTGATCCCTGCTTCCATCTTGTTTGCTGCCATTACATCACAGGCAAGTTCATACATGGTCTTGGATAACTCACAGGCATACACAGAATGTGCTCCAGCTTTTTTAGCAAACATGCTACAAGAGAAAAACGTGTTCCATCAAGAAAAAATAATCTGCCATATTTTCTCAAATTTTAAGGAAATGATGCTGCTAAAATATGGGGTTTTCCCTTTTATTCTTTAACACAATCATTACACATTCCACATTAAAAAATAAACTAATATTCTTGTCTGGAAACAAATCATTCAATAAACCATAGGATCTACTCTATTAAAACACAACTGGCATTGTATCTTTAATAAATACTAATGGGCTTTAACTTGGACAACTAGATTCCACCAGAATGTTAACATAAAAAATACTCTTAAACTCATTACTCAAAATTTCAATAATCCCAAATTTTCCTTAGCAGTTACACCCAGTTCTTGATAAAAGTTGTAGTAAAAAACATAATAATAGTTACATAAATAAGCCTAACAAGATTATAAGAAATACTTTTAAATTTAAATTCCAATGTTAAATTTTCTATATCTGGCAAAATCTTTCATCTACATTAATATACATGTATATATCATTAAAATGCAGTTGCTACCAACCTTAGTATTCCAGTTCCTGCTCCTATGTCCAAGACACTTTTGGACCCCAAACGAACCGCCTTTTGGATGGCTGCATTATAAATCATATTCCTCTTGGTGTCATTAAGCATGATAAAGTGCCAGCGTTCCACCAACCAGTTTGCAACACGATAAAAATTCTCCTTTGCATCACTGAAATCAGGGTTTAGCTTCACTGCTTTATGAAAATACCCAGCTGCTTCATCCCTAAAGCCCATTCTAGAGTAAAAAATAACAAAGACAAAATATATTCAACTATATGCTATCAACTGCAATACCTTTGTTTATGCCCCTCTCCTGCCTGGGTATCCTGTGCCAGCACCCCAAATCCTACCAATCCAAGTGCTACCTCTTTTGGGAAGCTCTCTTTGAGGACTGCAATCCTCAGGCTTTTCTTTTCTGAACCGCTACTACATTTATATATTCCATGACACAAACAAGTATCTGACTATAAATTACTATGTATGCCGCGGCGGTGGCTCACGCCTGTAATCTCAGCACTTTGGGAAGCCAAGGCAGGCAGATCACAAGATCAGGAGTTCAAGACCAGCCTGACCAACATGGTGTAACCCCGTCTCTACTAAAAACACACAAAAACTAGTCAGGTGTGGTGGCATGTCCCAGCTACTCAGGAGGCTGAGGCAGGAGAATCGCTTGAACCCCGGAGGTAGAAGTTGCAGTGAGCCAAGATTGCACCACCACTGCACTCCAGCCTGGGCAACAGAGTGAGACTACATCTCAAAAAAATTAATAAATAATAAATAAATAAATTGCTATTGCACTAATGAATAGCAAAAGCTCTCACAGTCATCCTTCATTTAGCCAATTCCATTCCCTCTGTACAACACACTAATGCCTATGGCTTAGTAGGCTCCTCTCTGGTGTGCCTCCATGCCTTTTTTCTCAGCAACTGAGTTAACAGTCACCAAGAGTCAGTTGTATTTGCTGCCAGATCAGTTTATGTCAGTTTTGTACTTGTTATTATAATTATACATTTTAATTAATATTACACTAAGTAAATAAATATGACCAAATAAAGGAAACTATTGTGCCTAAGTGCTCTGGAAAAAAATCAAAGGCAAGTCACTCAAGAAAGTACTATTTAATTATATGTGAGCAAATCAAAAATAAAAGGCAGGAGAAAAAAAACTATTAAACCTTCTAGAACAGTGCTTCTCAAACTACCTGTAATAAAAAACCTCTCCTCTCTTTTTTTTTTTAATTTTTTTATTTTTAAGAATGCTCAAGTACAATAGTGAGAAGGAAGGAATCCTTGTCAATTGTTTGCAGACCAATATGACTGTGTTGCACAGGATTCATACGCAGCTCGCATAATATCAGATTTCAGCAGCACCCAAACTGATCTATATACTCTCTTCCACATTAAGAGTTTCTTAACCATATGCTTGGATTTACAGCAATGTCAGGTTGCTATACCCATTTCCAAACACTTACTCTCAATTTCTATACTTACCTGTCATTAATCAGTATTCATGGATGAGAACCAATGTGCGCACCACACATTGAACAGAACTGAGCTAGCAGAACACTTTCCATTCACGGTTCATCACAAGTACCTTTAAGCATTCTGTCAAGTTTAGAGAAACTTAATCATACTATTAATTCTAGGCCTGGTTTAAGCAAAAAAGACATTCTAGGAGTCCAAACAGGGGACTGCACTCTAAAAAAAAAAAAAAAAAAGCAATGGCCCTATGTCAAGTAAGAGGCACTCATGATTTAGGTGAAAATTTAAGTGTAAAGTTAATATACGTTATTTTAAAGTTATCTTGAAAGCAAAACTATCTTGTTCTGATTTGCAACTACCAATGTACACAGTACAGTACCACATACATTGTATGTAATCATTATTTGTTGAGAGACTAACTCAGCAATGGGTATTAAACATGCCCCAATAATTTCCTAGGTTTGTGTTCCCCTTAGGTTTGATATTTAACACATCATCAGTTTCCTTAAACTGCAATCCTAATCTAAAAAATATATAATCTACTCCATTAAAGCAGATCTCATTGAAAGACTCAACTGTGTATCCACAGTATCAGTGAAGTATAAGAATGCCAGAATGCCTTTTTTCTTTTAACTAGGAAAAACGTTATCTTTGTGATTAGCAATTTAAATACATTTTGTTTAAATCTGATGCTACTGGACTAATAAAAGGTTGTGAAGTTGAGACACTCCAGACAAATTTTATTATACAAATAAGTGTCAGGAGAAGCAGCTATCGTTTACTTGGAAATAGTTTTCTCCTGGAATAGATTATTTCGGTGGAGAGTCAATGATACACTATTTTTGATGAGAAATGGAGTGTAGAACAAAAACACCAAGAACAGCCAAGAACAAAGGTAAATTCTATAGCTAAAGCCACATTCACACTATCACAAATTCTGAATTGCTACTGTCCAAATTAGAAATTTCCTTAGTTACATCTCCCCAAAACAAATTAATACCAAGTATTTTTGTCTCAATGACTGGTAAGTGCTCAGACTAATGTCCTACAACGACAGGTCACCAAAAGTTACAATCTACCAAAAGTTTGACTTTTCTGTTAAATTGAGTTAATCCCGAAACATAAGTCTTGGAATGTTATGATCACTGTATGTGTATAACCTGGAAATATAATTGAATCCTTAGAGTAACTCCCATTATATGAATTAAAGAACAAAAGAAAACTTTTTATAAAATATACATTTTTTAAACTAACTTGAGGAGATTGCTCACAAAAAAGATTTTGTTTTAAAAAATCTTTTAAAACAAATTTCATTTTAAGTGGAAAGAGGTTGATAATTTGTAGAAAATGGATGCTGTATCTGATCAGGTTAGCTATTAATATGAACAAGTAACCCCCAGTTGATTATCTGCCTTATTTTTCTACTTATTAACATACTCTACAATTAAAAACTATCAAATATTTGTTTCCTAAAGCAGAATTCATTGTCATTCCCTAAACCATGTTAATTAAGACTGTTAAAATGCCTTGCGATTACATTACTAAGACTGGCTAATAAAGTTTGGCAAAAGTATTTCTTATATAGAACTTCTCATTGAATAAAAATATAACTTGGCTAGGCATGGTGGCTCATGCCCATAATCCCAGCACTTTGGGAGGCCAAGGCAGGTGGATCACTAGAGGTCAGAAGGTCGAGACCAGCCTAGGCAACATGGTAAAACCCCATCTCTACTAAAATACAAAAATTAGCCAGGCATGGTGGTGTGCACCTATAATCCCAGCTACTCAGGAGACTGAAGCATGAAAATTGCTTAAACCTGGGAGGCAGAGGTTGCAGTGAACTGAGATCCTGCCACTACACTCCAATGTGGGTGACAGAGCAAGACTCTGTCTCAAAAAAAAAAAAATTAATATAACCAAATAAGGAAAAGAATGATAGTACAAAACAATTACTGAACATGGAAAGGTATCGTTCTATATAAAACAGAACATCATAATCATGTTTCCTAAGCAAGAATTCTCTCATTATTTTATACACTATTTTATTTTATTTTATATTTTATAGGCAGTGAAATTAGATGTATTAAATCCAAAGTAAAAATTTTTTGTTTTCACCAATTTTTTCTGATTATAAAGTTTCTATAGAGAGTACATAAAAATTCCAATGAAGAAAAAGACTGTTCTATGAAAAAGTTGTATTTCATTTACAAAAACATTTATGTATACATAAAAAACTTAATACTACTTTGTTTATATTTTCAACTTATTGAGCAGCCTCAACAAAGTCATTCTATTTTAACAGGTAGAATTATTTTTTTCAGACAGAGTCTCGCTCTGTCACCCAGGCTGGAGTGCAGTGGTGCAATTTTGGCTCACTGTAGCCTCTATCTCCCAGGTTCAAGCAGTTCTCCTGCCTCAGCCTCCCGAGTAGCCGGGACTACAGGCGCATGTCACCACACCCAGCTACTTTTTGTATTTTTTTAGTAGAGACAGGGTTTCACTACGTTGGCCAGGCTGGGCTCAAACTCCTGACCTCAACGGATCCGCCTGCCTCAGCCTCCCAAAGTGCTGGGATCGCAGGCATGAGCCACCGCGCCCACCCTAGAATTTTTTTAAATAAGCAAAAAATTCTATACATCAAATCTCAAAATTTTTTCTAAAGAGACATACCATTCATGTTGTAATAAATATTCATAAAACTTATTGTGAATGACCATATAAAGAGTTTACATTAATTATCACAGAGGCGTAACATTAGTCAGGTTAATGATCCATGTTCTTCTTAAAAGTTATTTATAAAACATTATTTCTCCATACTGAAAAAAGTATATAAACAATGAGTTGATTGCTCAATTAATTTAATTTCTCAAAACTTTACAGAGTATATATACTCCCTTCTTAGGGTCCCTAGCCCTGCACAGTCCAGTGAGTCATGCAAGGGCCCAATGGGCACCAGAAACAAAAGTAGTGGATTGATTATTAACAGCTAATAAACTCAAGATATGCTTAAGAAGAGAAATTCTGTGGTCACTTAGGAGTTTTGTAGTTCATTATTCACAACATTAAGTTTTTTTTTTTTTTGCTGGCTGTGATCTGAGGAAACGAGGACGCAATTAGTGAGGAAATGCATGAAAATACCTAAAAGGAATATTTAAAATGAGATTTCATTAACTAAATTCCTTGGAATGTGAGCAACTGTTACTTTCAAACTTGGCAGAGCCATGCTCAGTCCCCATTACTCTGACACTTTCAAACTCAGAAGCAATGTTAACCATTTTATTTCCTGTACTTTCACAGAATTCTTCATGCACATGTACTAGTATGCAGAAAGCGTTAATTAACATTGCAGGCCTGACTGCCATCCTTTGAAAGGCTTGTTTACAAAACTGTCCCTTAGCTGGCATCTGGGAATTTGGATTTGGAAAGGGTTCCCACTACCCTAACTGATAAGAGTGGCTGACTGTGCCTAAACAGTTTGGTTTACGCTCAACAATGGTTTATGCACAAACTAAACAATGTGGTTTCTGCTCAACACCTGACCTGCTTTTCTTCTGGGAATCTAGAATTTTGGTATATGCCAGGCAGAGGGTACCTAAGTGTCCAGCTCTCAGTAAAAACCCTGGGCACTGAGCCTCTAATGAGTTTCCCTGGTTGGCAACATTTCACGTGTATTGTCATAAATCACTGGGAGAATGAAGTGCATCCTGTGTGACTTCACTGAAAAAGGACCTTTGACCTTGCACCTGATTTTCCTTTACACTTTGCCCCATGCACATTTACCCTTTGCAAATTTTGCTTTGTATCCATTCATAGTAATACACGAGAGCCATATAGGACTATATGATGAGACCTGTGAGCCCTTCTAACAATTCAGCAAATCTGGAGATGGTTTCAAGACTCCCAACATAGCTAGTTATCAACTTATTGCCAAATTCACCCTTTTCTGCCTGCTCTGTGAAAAATGTATCTAGCCCTTTAATATTCTCCCACCAGTTGGCACAAGGATAAGCTTTGTTGGTAAAAAGTGCAGAGAGGCCAGGTGCGGTGGCTCAAGCCTGCAACCCCAGTGCTTTGGGAGGCCGAGGCCAGAGGATCGCTTGAGCCCAGGAGTTCCAGACCACCCTGGGCAACAACATGGCAAAATCCTGTTTCTACAAAAAATAAGCCAGGTGTGGTGGCATGTACTGTAATCCCAGCTACTGGGGTGCAGGTCGGGGGGCTGCTGAAATGGGAAGATCACGTGAGCCTGGGAGGTCAAGGTTGCAGTGAGTCTTGATGGTGCCACTGCACTCCAACCTGAGTGACACAGTGACACACTGACACACTGTCTCAAAAAAAAAAAAGTGCTGGAAGCCAGGCATGGTGGCTCACACCTGTAATCCCAGCACTCTGGGAAGTGAGGCAGGTGGATCACTTGAGGTCAGGAGTTCAAGACCAGCCTGGCCAACATGGTGAAAACCTGTCTCTACTAAAAATACAAAAATTAGCCAGGTGGGGTGACAGGTGCCTACAATCCCAGCTTCTCAGGAGGCTGAGGCATGAGAATCACTTGAACCAGGAGGTGGAGGTTGCAGTGAGCTGAGATCACGCCACTTCACTCCAGCCTGGGCTACAAAATGAGACTTTGTCAAAAAAAAAAAAAGTGCTGGAGAGACCCTTTAGGAAGAAAGTGCTTTGCTTCCTGATTCCAGTCTGCTTAGGGCTTCTTCAGCACCAAGCTCCTCAAATGTATGGCAGCTAGCAGCATCCAAGGTCAGCAGCTTCCTCAGGGCCCCTTTTCCTACTATAAGGTTTTGTAATGGAGTACCTCTGATGAGATACTTCCCCATGAGGCTTTCTCTGCACCCCAAAAGGCAAAATTATGGCCAGGTCCAGAAAATAAATTTACAAGAAGTTCCCTGGCAAGGCACTACAGTGACTTTTCTGCATTCCTGAGAATCACAGCTGTGCCCTCTCCAATAAAGTCTGGAACTCAGCCCAGTGAGGAGAACTCTTCCTTGGATACTCTACCTTACTCCTAGCAGCAGTGGCTATTGTAGTATGTTATATAATATTAAAACTGCAATGATATTATATATCTGCTTTTCTTTTCATTTCTCTTTACTTAATAATCCTCTAGTATTAAACTTTCCTTGTTCAAATTACAGTATGATTTATCCCTATCCAGACTAATACAGAATAATTCTTAACAAGTAATATTGAAATGACTACAAACCTAAAGAGATGCTCCCCCATACTATTGCAAATCACTTCGTCATCAGGAAACAGTTCCAAGGCCTGCTCATAGCAACCAAGTAAGTCTTGTATCCGATTGAGAGCATCGAGCTCTTCAGCCCATCTGAAAAGCGTGTACTGAAAAGTTTCCTTTACAAATAAGAAAAAAATTATGAATTAGTCAATAACATAAAAGATGAAAGAATATACAACATTAGTTGAAGATTCCAAGCAATATAACTTAATTACCATTGAATGATCACCTTAAATTTCATTTAGCTTTAGTAGGCACTATTTTCTAAACCCGTACACAAATGAATGAATCTTACCACCTACATGGCAATAATAAGCAGAATTAGACAGTCTGACCACTCTCTAAACTCCCTCCATTCTTAGCTGCTGGATAACACTCTCCTGATTCTCCAACTGCCTCATTTTTGTTGGTACCTGTGTCTTGGAGCTTGTACTTAGCATTCTTCTTTTTTCTCTCATCCATCCCTAATGCATTTGTTGTCACCCATGTGTTAATGGATGTGACATTTACATCTCTAATGAAGACCTCTTCTGCACCTCAGACTCATAGATACAGATTCCTATTAGTCATTTCAACCAAGCAATGGAACTCCAGCCATTATAAATGTAGTCCAACTCAAATTATTTCCTGAACTATTATTGTACAAAGAACTGGGGCAACACAAAGGCCTCACAGAGGCCCTATCGAGAAATTTAACATAAAATTTTGGAAAAGTTCAGAATGTTCTAAACTGAACTAATCATATTCCTCTGATACAGGATATAAGATTAAGATACCACTCAACCTCAAACCACAGAGTCACCTATAATGGTACCTTAACTCCACATACACTGTTTCAAACATAGCCAGTGCTCTCTCAATATCATTAAATCTGTTACCTCCTCTCCATTCCCACAGTTACAACCTAATCTGGCCCTTGTAACCACTTGCTGGACTACAGCAATAGCCTTCATGCTGTCACCCTAGTTCCAATCGCATCTCCCTCCAGCCATTCTCCATGCTGCAACAATGTGGAAAGAGGGAAAGTTTTAGTCATTACAGCTTTACCATTAAAACACTTTAAATCACCTTCACATATTCTATACAAAAGAGTTGATACTTGGAACTGAATCTTAATGCAGTTTACTAGAGACACAAGGATAAGAAAGGAGATTCTGGCAAAGAGCGGTGGCTTACACCTGTAATCCCAGCACTCTGGAAGGCCAAAGTGAGCAGATCACCTGAGGTCAGGAGTTCGAGACCAGCCTGGCCAACATGCTGAAACCTTGTCTCTACTAAAAATATAAAAATTAGCCAGGCATGGCGGCAAATGCCTATAATCCCTGCTACTTGGGAGGCTGAGGTAGGAGAATCGCTTGAACCCAGGAGGCGGAGGTTGCAGTGAGCCGAGATTGCACCACTCCACTCCAGACTGAGCGACAGAGTGAGGCTCTGTCTCAAAATTTAAAAAAACACACACAGATAGAGGGTCTACAGGTAAATGGCTTGGTGTGGCTGGAGTCTGGGTATGGGGAATAGAGTAGCAGGAAATGGTATTTTTACAAGGGGCCCATACAAAGAAATACAGACTTTGTTTGGCAGAAAAGAAAACTAGTTGCTTACTCTACTGATTTTCAGGCATTGCACTACAAATTTTAAATTTTCTTTTAATACACAATAAATACTTTTAAGAGAGGCAGTGTCCCTGTTTCACAGAAGAGGAAACTAGGAAACAAGAAACAAAGGAAAGATCACTTGAGTTGATCCATTTTTCTACTGCTGCCTACCTGGAGAAGCAAACTGCATCTCAACATATCATCTCCTCCTATTTAAGGCCAGTTGGTCCTGAAGTTTACACTAAGTTTACAAGAACTACAAACAACTAGACGCTACTGACATTTAGTGGGTAGAGATCAAGGATGCTGCCAAACATACTACAATGCACAGGACATCTCCCCTCTCCCCATAACAAAGAATTATCCCATTCAAAATGTCAATAGTGCAGAGGCTGAGAAACCCTCAGTCTAAATAAAGCAAAGCAACTGCAAATTTAAATTATTTTTCGTAATTTAGATTCTACAAGTAATTGAGAAAACTACAGCGTTTCAACAAAATAACTGTTGCAAAATAATCCAATAACTGAAGTTTAAAGAATGCATCATTAAATGATAATCACCTTAGGCTAACTGCACACTTTATTCAACTAGAGGCCCACTATATTCCTACTACACACAGTATAAAAAATGCAAAGGCCCTTAAGCCAGAGCATGCTTAAATTAGATACAGGGAGAAAGGGATCACCTGAGAACTCATTTGCAATTTGAGGGCCTTTAGAATTTTAAATGAGATGAAACTTTTGAAACTGAGAAGTGACAACATTTGACTTTCGTTGCAAAAAGCTAGCTATGTTGACACAGACTGCAGGAGAGAGCCCAGTGGAAAGCCCACTGCAGCAGCTGGCAGATAACTGAAGCTCGAACTAGGAGAGTAAGGGGAAGATGGTGAGAAGTGGTAAGATTCTGGACATATTTCGAAGGTGAAGGCGGCAGGATTGTCCTCTGGGTTTGTCGTAGGTGTGAATAAGAGAAACGCAATACGGGTGAACAGTAAATATTAATAGCAACCACACAGCCACGCACCCTGGCCCCTCCGCCTTTTTTTTTTTTTTTTTTTTTTTACGAGGGCGTTGGATCTGCTAGCAAGTGAGGAAAAAAAGGGCCCTAAATATTAGCAGCAACCACCCAGCCACGCACCCTAGCCCCTCTGCTTTTTTTCTAATTTTTTTATTTTTTACAAGGACGATGGATCTGCCAGCAAGTAAGAAAAAGGGGCCCTCACCTTCACTTCATCTTTCAGCTCCGGCGCCAGACTGAGCACGAGGAGATAGTGGGCATAGGCAGTGCCGAAGTCCTGGGCGCCCAGACAGTGCTCTGCGCTCTGCAAGGACCGCGACACTAGCTCGTCCCGGCCGGCTGCCCCGGCGCCACCCCCGGGGTCTCGGCGGGACCTGGACCGCGAGTTCGACATGACAGTCACCACTTCGAGGGCAAAAAGGAAGATATTTTGTAAGCGGAACTAGGAAACTTTCTCGATGCTACACTCCCAGGGACCACACAACGGTTCAAGAACTAATACAGGAAAGTTACCCTCCTCTACGGGTGAATCCGCCCACCCCAGCCGAGGCGGAAGTTCTGCCCTCTCCTGGCCCCGCGGGCGGCGCAGACCGTGACGCACACCACACTACGGCGGACCAGGCTGGCGACGCACGCTACGCTAACGTCAGCGCGCCCGACGTGATACGTCGCAGCCGCCCATTCCCGTAGGAGCGACCACTGCGCGTGCACATAGTTGACCGCGCATGTTAAGACGCGTCCAGTCTCATGCCGTTTTTTTACGGCTGAGAGCAGACTTTTCTCTCTCTCTTGCACTCAGAGAGTGTGCGGCTTTCGACTGCAAGACTCTGTTGTACAGACCTAGGCAGCGCGAAGCGGCACCCGCTCATGATGGACGGTCAAGCATTTGTGGTGATGTTTAAGACATTTTGGGTCGTGATGCACAAAATTTCAAGAACGGAGAGAACCTGAAGATAACAAAAGCATCTCAGATGTGGTAGAGAAAATGCTTTCACATGCATTTCAAATCATTCTCACAAACCTGGCTAGGCGAACCTTTGGATCACATGCATCTTAATGATGGCAAACGTGATATCTTGAGAAGTGACTTGCTCAAGGTCACGCGACCAGCTATGGCATAGGCATGGTTCAAATCCACGTTCCCTGACCACCTATCTGTCCAGTTATAAAATGAGCTTAGGGGATATTTCACTGTTCCATGTCTTATCACTGTATAGTGGTTACATTAATACAAAGTTTTTCCACATTCAAGTCTGGCCCCTTAAGATACAGATTCGAAATTCTAAAAGGGAGGGGAGCATAGTTATTAACAGCTGAAAAGTTATTTTAGTCCACATTTTCAAATACATTTATGGAGAATATCTTAAATCGAGCATTTTGCATGTCAAACTAATACATTTTGAAGGCTCCTCCAATTCTCAAAAACACGTCAGGCCTTTTTGTCTTCCGATCCAATTATCTGAACTACCCTTTCTTCTGAGCACTGGCCTGTATAAATTCTAATCAATTTTTCAGATTCCAGTTCACTAGATTGTGAGCTATTCTTAATCACTTTTGTGACCTTTGCACCTAGCGGAGTATGGTGCAAAGTAAGGACTTAGATTTTTATTTTTTGTGTTTTGTGGTTTTTGAGACGGAGTCTCGCTCTGTCGTCAGGCTGGAGGGCAGTGGCGCGATCTCGGCTCACTGCAACCTTCGCTTTCCGGGTGGGAGCGATTCTCCTGCCTCAGACTCCCTAGTAGCTGGAACTACAGGGCGAGCGCCAGCAGGCCCAGTTAATTTTTGTATTTTTAATAGAGACGGGGTTTCATCATATTGGCCAGGATGGTGATTTTTGTTTAATGCAAAGGGCTGGGCGCAGTGGCTGACGCCTGTAATCCCAGCACGTTGGGAGACCGAGGCGGGCAGATCACCTGAGGTCAGGAGTTTGAGACCAGCCTGGCCAACATGTGAAACCCTGTCTCTACTTTTAAAAAAGTACAAAAATTACCCGTGTGGTTCATGGGTGCCTGTAATCCCAGTTACTCAGGAGACTGAGGCAGGAGAATCACTTGAAACCAGGAGGCAGAGGTTGCAGTCAGCCAAGAGCATGCCATTGCACTCCACCGTGGGCAATAAGGGCGAAATTCCATGTCAATAATAACAATTTAATGCAAAGTATATCCCCACTCCTAGGTTTTGCATGTAGTCTTTCCCAGCTATTCATCTTCCTGTTTCTCTCCTATACTTAATTGCTACTTTTTGTATGAAACAAGTTAGGACTTAATGTATGATAGTTCCTTAACAAGACTGAAACGTCTAAGTCTAAGGCCTTTCTATTCCTAGTGGGAATCAACAGAACATGCAATGGCCATCATGTTAAAGTTAAAGACTTCTTTAAAAAGGGCATTCTAGACCAAGCTTAGTCCTTTCTAGCCTATCCAATGAGCATTCCTTAAGAGTATTTATTCTAAAAAGTCCTATTAAAAACTACCTTTCCTACTTTAGTTACAAGAGCACTATAACCATCAAATGAGATAATATATAAACATTTTATATCTGACACACATACAGAGTTAATGTTATTCATTGTTGCCATTATTTAGAATCATTTAAAAATTATCTGAATTATTAAAGTAAAAATTAGGTTGCTAATACCTGTAAGCATTTGATCAAAAGTGTATGCACCCATATCCTTCAAGAGTCAAATGTAGTTGGCTGAAACCTCTTTCCAGAAAGCAGAAGGGAACTTCCCAGTCTTTCACTATAGAGAATTGGATTGGAGATGAATCACTGAAATGTAATCCTTCCAGTCAACTCTGTGAGTCCCTGCTTCAGCTGAATTACTTCACTTTACAAATTATCTTGTACTCCAGGGCATGTTTTCCGATTCCACAAGGGCAGGGTTTCTTTTATTTTGTTTTGCTCCATTTTATTGTTTGGTCTGTTTGTTTCATTGAGATAACCTGAGTACCTAAAACACCTAGACTGCATGACACTAATACTGAACGTGTTTCTACCAAGTCAGTGGAGGACAAGAAATGGAGGAGGGACTTGGCAGGAAATGGAGAAAGGATAGAAAAGATATGAAAGAAGCCAACTTCATCATCACCACTAGAGTATCACCTTTGGGCAGTGATTGTCACTGAAAAGGTATGAGAAATACTTTCTGGCCCATGTGAAATACTTCAAATAACTGTGTGAACTGCCGGATTCCACTGAGATAAAATATGATTAAGCTAGAGAACGCATAGATTATATGCATTTCTTTGTGATTTATCTATAGCATCAAGATATTCTGTACATAGAGTAGGTCATTTGAAAAAGTGAAATAATACAAATAACATGGAACAGCTGGTCACCTTAAGAAACTGGAATTGGCTGGGTGTGGTGCCTCATGCCTGTAATCCCAGTGCTTTGAGAGGCCAAGGCTGGAGAATCACTTGAGGCCAGGAGTTCAAGACCAGCCTGAGCAGCATAGCAAGACTGCATCTCCACAAAAAAAAAAAAAATTAAAATAAAAAAAGCTGGGTGTGGTGGCACACACCTGTGGTCCTAGCTACTCAGGAGTCTGAGACCAGAGGACCTCCCAGCAGTTTGAAGCTTCAGTAAGCTATGATTGGACCACTATAGCAACAAAGCAAGACCATGTCTCAAGTAAATAAATAAACAAGAATAGTAAATATATTTGATTACTATTTTCTGTTCCTTTATTACCTCAGTACCGGTTGAGACTGAGTTACTTAAGATTGTTCATCTTTATGAAGATTAACTGAATTCGTTGTAATTACCTTTCATTCCTTTTGTAAGAGCCCTATCTACAAAGGCAGAATTTAGAGTCTACTTCTTTATTCTTTTTTTTCCCCTAACCGCCGCCACCTCCACTACTTCTTTACTCGTAATCAAAGATTTATTTAGAAATATTAAAAGTATCACCTTTTTGTTGACAATAGCCCTTTTGCCCCTCACAACTGTAATCTTTACCTTTGAGAGTCTATTTGGTTTCTTCCTTTACATTTCCTTTTCACCCTCTTTTAGGATTCTAAGAAAACCCTCAATGATATAGAAAACCACTGCTGACTGGGAAGCAGGTTCAAATGTGTTTGTGTTTCATCATATTCTGGGTAGCTTGTCAACAAATTACACATGCCAAACACAGAAGTAAAACCAGCTGAAGGGTATCAGTCAACTTTCCAATGTGCAAAAGTTAAAAATGCTCATAGAAAGTGTATTGACAAGGGGCTGGGAGCAGTGGCTCGTGCCTTAATCTCAGCACTTTCGGAGGCCAAGGTGGGCAGATGACTTGAGGTCAGGAGTTCAAGACCAGCTTTGGCAACATGGTGAAACCTTTTCTCTACTAAAAATACAAAAATTAGCTCAAGACAAGCCTGAGCAGCATAGCAAGACTCCACCTTTACAAAAAATTTTTTAAAAGTTAGCTGAGTGTGGTGGCACACCCCTGTGATCCTAGCTACTCAAGAGTCTAAGACAGGAATAGCTGGCGTCTCAGCTATTCAGGAGGCTGAGGTGGGAGGATTGTCTAAGCCTGGGAGACAGAGCTGGCAGTGAGCCCAGATCATGCCACTGCATTCCAACCTAGGTCACAGAGCCAGACCCAGTCTCTAAATAAATTAATTAATAAAAAATAAAAATAAAGCATATTAACAAGGGATAATGTTGGACACAAACTATCCTGTGTTTCTGAATGTGGAGGTTCTTTTTTTTTTGAGATGGAGTGATCTCAGCTCACTGCAACCTCCACCTCCTGGGTTCAAGTAATTCTCTGCCTCAGCCTCCCAAGTAGCTGGGATTACAGGCATCCACCACCATGTTGAGCTAATTTTTTTTTTTTTTTTTTTTTTTTTTGGTAGAGACAGGGTTTCACCATCTTGGCCAGGCTGGTCTTGAACTCCTGACCTCATGATCCACTCACCTAAGCCTCCCAAAGTGCTGGGATTACAGGCGTGAGTCACTGCACCAAGCCTGGTTCATTTTTATTCTTTTTTCTTTTTAAAGACAGGGTATCACTCTACTGCCTGGGATGGAGTGCAGTGGCAGGATTATAGCTCACAGCAGCCTCAAACTCTTAGGATCAAGTGATTCTCCCACCTCAAACTCCTGAGTAGCTGGGACTACAGGTCCCCACCACCACACACAGCTAATTTTTTAATTTTTTGTAGAGATAGGGTCTTAGCATGTGTCCCAGGCTGGCCTCGAACTCCTGGCTTCAAGCAATCTTCCCACCTCAGCCTGCAAAAGTACTGCAATTACAGGTGTGAGCCACTGTGCCCTGTGAGGTTTATATCATTTTCTGTGATCTGGTTTGTTTTATTTTTGATTTGGAGCCCTGTTCTCAACTCTTTGTGCATTTTAGGATCATTGTGCTTTTTTTTTTTTTTTTCCCAGACAGATTCTCTGTCCGCCCAGGCTGGAGTATAGTGGTACAATCCCAGCTCACTGCAACCTCCACCTCCTGGGTTCAAGAGATTCTCCTGCCTCAGCCTCCCGAGTAGCTAGGACTACAGGTACGCACCATCACGCCCAGCTAATCTGTGTATTTTCAGTAGAGACAGGGTTTCATCATGTTGACTAAAATGGTCTCGATTTCTTGACCTCATGATCCTCCTGCCTCA